AGTCTGGACTAGTGGAAAGTGTCCCTGCCCAAGGTAGAGGGTTGGAACTATGTGATGTTTAAGGTCCCTTCCAACCCAAACCATTCTATGATTTTATAGTAACATTTCTCTGTGCCCAAAATAAATGATACAAAGCATTGAGGGCTGTCAACATTTCAGAATCCAAACAGGAAACAATTTCAGAGTTTTGTTCTAGGGCAGCACACTAACAAAAGAAATAATTAGCAAGGAGGAAGTAGATCAGGAAAGTAATTAGTGTTGTTTTGTCTCTTACAATCACCTGATTTTCATACAATGTCACGCTGGGAAAATCCAATGGTTACTGGAGGTTGCATGGTTTGTGATGCAGGTGAATTAATTTTTACACCTTTTTTACAAGAGTCACATGTTGAAATCAAACCACCAGGCAGGTGACTCTTGAGCAGGCTGTGTTCAAAAAGAGAAGTTAGAGTAACACAGATTCAACACTGAGCTCACACAGCTACGTGGCTGCTGCATCGGTGGTGGTTTGTTTTAGGCAGATCAAGCCATGGCTGTAAGACTAACCCAAAAGAATGCAGCCTTAGAATATGCACTTCATGAGATCTCTAAAAGTAAGTTTTCTTCACTCCTGCCTTGCCATCAACAAGTATCAAATACCTCTCAGTGTACATACACTTCCAATGAATTCTCATAATTTGAACAAGATTTTTGGGGTGATGCTCTGGGGTCTTAGGTACTACTTTAGCCAGTTTGATGTGTTAGCTTAAATTGATGAAGAAGGCATGAGTTCCATTTTGTAGCATATGGTGCTCTGCAGGGGGACAGGGAACAAGGAGGATCTGGGAGACCACAATGTCCTGATCACTACAATCATGTTAGGCTTAACACTGAAGGCTCCAAAGCATGAGCCAAGGAACAAAAGATCAGAGTAGACCTTTTTTTAGTCAAATAGCCAAGGAACAAAAGATCAGAGTAGACATTTTTTTAGTGAAACGTGGTGGAACCTGTCTCCTTTTATCCTTTAAAGGTGGCTCAGAGGCAACATGCCCCTCAGAACAGTTCTAAAATATCCCACTGTAACACCAAGTACTCTCCACTTCTGATTCCTAGAGAGGCTTTTCTCCAGTTCCAGAGCATAACTCTCGGTCTCAAACTGTCAGACATAGCTGTTCCAAAGGGACAGATCCACCCACTACTGACAGAACTTTCCTTTTAAAAAGGTGGAATACATAGCTATTGTATATGCAGTGAGTACAAAAGCCACATTATTTCTGCATCAGCCTGTGCCTGTTTGTGTGTGCATGGGAGAGGTGAAACAACAGCATCCCTCACACCGGGTGGAGGACACTGCCTTTGCTCTTGTGTGGAGGACAAAGGAGTTTCTTTTTAGAAACTGTAGTGTTCAAAACCCAGACTTTCTATAGAAATTTCTGTAGCAAAATCTTTATTTTAGAATTTCGAGATGGGAAATGGCACAATGGGAATCACTTGGAACAGAGGACTCAAAGGCATGGATTGATCTTTTGAGTTGGCCTCCCTCAGTGACCACGGTGATGCTCGCAGGCAATCCAGCCAACAGGGTCTGAGAGCAGCTGCTCACTTACTGCCCTCTCCAGAGTTTGTCTCATCCCATCTCTTTCTGGCTCCAGCCTTCTTCATGCTTCCCAGATCCCAAAGCTCAACTCAGCACTTCACTTCTGGGTAGATTTCTTGAGTAAACCATCAAAAGCAAAACACAGGATCAATCAGTGATCAAGGAGCATCCACTCAAGTCCAACTAATCCATCATTAAGAGCTGAACAACCCATATCCTGTTTGGTTATTATTGCCTTCGTGGATTTCTTTAATGATGACTTCATGCAAGCATCAGGCACAGACTTAAGCACCAATCATTACTGAAGTTACTTGCTGAGTTCAGGCATAAGCCCCATCACTTCCAAAGCTGTGTGACCATTTCTCATCTCTTCGTTGTCTAACACCCTTTCACAGCCAACACATGCCAGACCAAGTACCATTTTGTGATTAGCCTAGGCTCAGCAGCCTAAACCAGTCCTGTCCTTACATATCCAATCTATCTGCTGCAAGGAATTACTCCCATGCAACCTGTGTCCTTTCTAGCTCTTGCACACCATCATCACCTCATCTATCAGCCACCTGGCCCCTAGATCACTGCTGACCAAGGTAATCTTTCTGCTTTTCAAGTCTGTACAGCTGACATTTGTTTGAGCTGCTGTTCTCTGTATTGTGACACTTCTAGCTTGCCGTCCCAGGTCATATTATCATGGAAAACTCATCTGCACTGCAAAGTCATTGAGCTCTACCATAAGAGAATAATTTGTTCCTCGTTATTCAAACTAGATGAATTTCCCAAGTCCTGAAGAACTTTTAGATACCAGCAAAAATAGAATCCTTGGATTTGGATTGCACTACATTGATCAAGAATGGAATTGTTACCAAGAGGACTGGTCAGTAACCATTTTAGTCTTCATTCAAGATGCAGAAAACAGACATGAAAGTTAAGACTTGAAGGAGCAGATCTTAGGAAATGACTACTTTGAAATAAATTGAAACTTATGGGTGCAAACAGTCTCACTTTCCCTTTTTATCCATGGCAGGGGTGTCCCTGTCCATGGCAGAGGGCTTGGAAGACCTTCAAGGTCTCTTCCAACCCAAACCATTCTAAGATTCTACTCAAACCACAGATTCCTGTGAACTCCTTTTATCAGCACTGGAGTATGTGTGGACATGTTACAAACCAGATGAAGGAAGAGGTCCCAGGAAGGATGAAGAAAGATTAACCTAGAAAAAAAAATCACCAGCTTAAAGTGCCATGAGGCTATTCACGTGCAGAACTGAGTAACCTCCAACAACGCACCATGCTGGAATCCTGACAAACCCACGTGTTTCCACACAGCACCCAACTGCCTCAGACATGATTTTATATTTCCACAGCCTATTCAACATAATTAGGACTCAGAGATGAGTCCTGCTGAGGCACTTGTAAAAATACTGTCGGAACATTGGTTTCCTGAATTCAATTTTGTGCCAATGGCTGAAGGAGAAAAAAGAAGAGCACTTTCTAATGCGTTTCTGCCTCAAAAATGAGACCAGTGTGAAGCAAGTCTACTTTATGCTTCCACCAGGTGAACAGGCACTTGTGTACATATTAGGCTGATTGACTTCTCAAAGTGATCTCATAATCACAGAATTTTAGGGGTTGGAATGGACCTTTTAGATCATCTAGTCCCAACACCCCCTGCCCTGGGCAGGGACACCTCCCAGCAGAGCAGGTTGCTCAA